CTCTCTGTCCAGGAAACTGGCACCAGGCCTCTGCCATGGTTGACTTTCAAATAAAAATAGTTTTCAACCCTGGTCATTAAAAGTTACTTACTCTTGGGCCCTCCCTGGTGGCGTAGTGGGTTAAAGACAGCACTAAGAACTAAAGCCACTTCAGCATGAAGTGGCCTGCCCCGGAGGTGATCCACATGGTGTGGCAGACCTCTCCTGACCCGCCCGCTGCTCCCCTCAGCAGTGTATTTCATCGATCTGCCTGTCCTGCTCCCCACTGTTCTCTGGTGAGTCCTCTCACTGCCTCTGCACCTCTGGCCTGTACCCCAGATCTGTATGCATAAATAAATAATTTAAAAAAAAGTTACCTACTCCTGCAAAAAATGATTGACAACAAAGACCCATCTTAAGATAATGCTATTCACCTGAATGTATTGTTAAACATTTTTATGAACATTCTTTCAGGAAGCACATGCTAGAGCATCCCCTCCATATACATATTTTTACAGGGACACATATTTCGATAACCTGCTTTCTTAAAGACTTACGCTGTGGAGACTGCCTTGTGTCCATGACTAAATCAAAATTAGCTTCAGTTGTCCAACTAACCGCTCTGCATTGGAGTCTGCAGGGCCACAGCTATTCCTCCTGAGATCAGGTGGGTGGTTTTGGAAGAGAAGGCATCAGCCAGACCTTCAAGCTGGCAAGGCCTGGCATCTTCATCTAACTTGTCTTGGCTCCCCAAACCCCTTGCTTCCGCAACTCTTACAACTGGTTTTCATCTGTCTCTCATCTGCTAGAGCTCTGAACATACTTCTCTCTGGACGCAGCTCAGCTCCTTGTGAATATTTATTTTTTCGTGAAAGAAAGCAAGCAGCCTTCACCCCCGAGAGAGCCTCCTGCTACTGCCTCTGACCCAGAGGGCTCTAACTTTTCATGTCTGCTGGATCTTCCTTTCTCTAGGATCCCTGTACAGTCATCCCCCAACTCCTTGTTAGTCTTGGCAAGGCTGGCGTAAGGCTGTGGCTTCTGAGTGAGGGTTTCCCCAGGAGGCTCCCAGCCCTGCTCCCCTCTGCCTGCCTAGGAAGTGTGTTCTGGGGCCTCTGCTTTCCTTCCTCTGTTCTTTCTGACTTCCAGGCTTGGCAGCCCAGTGTCTCTGCGACTTCCCCTTGACCGGGATCCCAGGGGCGTGGGAAAGAGGCAACATTGTCTCAGCCCTGGGGAACCCGGATTCTAGTTGACACCAAGTGCTGCCATAGGGAGCTCAGGAGCCTGCAAAAGAAGCAGGAAAACAAATGCAGAACAATCACAGTCTGCACAAGGAGGGCTTGGATGCGCCTGGGAGGCCAGGCGGGCTCTGGGGAGGCTCCTCTCAGTCTGGGCTCAGCCCCTGGGGGGCAGCTTACGTGGTTTCAGTCACTCACTTTTCATGGCCGCTTGTTGATTGCCTACTATGTGCAGGTCACACCACCCCTTGTGGTCCAACGCCACCTGCCTATTTCCAGTTACTCCTGATGCTTTGCCTCAAGGCCACTTTAATGCAGTTTCTAGTGGTCAGTTTTGGTAGAATGAGGAGCAGTTGCTCACCACTCCCTGTAAAACAACCCTTCAGAGTCTGTTATTAGCCATCCCCAGAGCTGCTGTATTTACCTTTCATCAATCTAGGTTTTTCTGCTCTGCTGTGTGGGCTGACCAAGGCTGAATTCTGCAGCTGTGCCAGGCAGGGAGTGGGCACACACGTGTTTGTGAGAACAGAGACTATATAGGATAATTGCCCAATCGGGTGTGAAAACCGATACAGGTGGTGCAGGTGATGGAGTGTCAGGTTGCCTCTGGCAGGTCAGAGAGCTTTCAAAACACGCTGTTCTGTGCTCAGTGACCTGGAAAGCATGGTCTGTTCCTCCGTCCACCCTGTGTCCTGATGGCTGCCGATTCCCAGGTGAGAGCCCTACCGTGTACAGCCCCTCCCCCAAGGAGTCCCAGGCCTGTGGGAGAGAAGGGGTCGCTGGCGTGAGCATGAAGCCAGCTTTAGGTTGAGCTTAAGCCACCCACAGTCCTCACAGAAGCTGCATCCCGGGGACTGACTTCTCTTGGGCTGAGCTGAGCTGGACTGATCTTTGGGGAAGGAAGTTGTATTATCAGGGTTCTCAGTTATAGGTGACAAAGCCAGAACTCTAACTTAAGCAGAAGGGAATGTATTCTGGGAACTTGGAGAGGTCATGGACTTTACGCCAACGCTGGGAAATTAGACTTGGAACAGACGAAGGCTCTGCAGCCTGAACCGAGGCCAAAACGACCACACAACTGGCCTCGCAAGGACCTTGTGCCCTGTGGCAGCTCCGACTCTGAAACTGTGGATGTGGGTGCTGCCCGTACCCTGGCCAGCAGGGCCCCAGGCTATGTGGAGCTGCTCAAGGGGTTCTCCATGTCCTTCTCGAGTGGCTAGCTCCCTGCCAGTTGTCAGGCTTGGTGATCTGATTGCCCGGCCTCGGTTCTTTGCCCAGACTTGGAGGGCAAATACCTTTTTTTTTTTTTTAATACTTTCTTCTCTATTTTACTTTACTTAAAAAAAATATTTAATTATTTATACATACAGAAATGGGGTACAGCCAGAGGTGCAGGGACGGCAAGAGGATTCACCAGAGACAGAGTGGGGAGCAGAACAGGCAGACTGATGAAGTACACTGCTGAGGGGAGCAGCGGGCGTGTCAGGAGAGGTCTGCCTCACCATGTGGTCACCTCCGGGGCAGGCGGGAATCGAACTCATGCGGAAGTGGCTTTAGCTTCTCAGTGCTGTGCTTTAACCCGCTGCGCCACCAGGGAGGGCCAATATCTTGTATTTTTAACTTCTGTCATCTCCCATAACTCATTAGGTGTGAAAGTCTCCAAGCATAGGAACGCACGAGGTGGTTGAAAACTGGCAACTGTACCCTAACAGATTGGGGGGGCTAGAGAGCCGCAGGATGGGCATGGAGACTGGGCTTTTGAGGGGTCTGGCTACTGAGCATCATCCCTGTTTCTGTGGGTGTCACTTACCTGTGGCTCTTTGCCCACATGTATGGGATACCCAGTGCTCTCCCTTTGTGGGTCTCCACTGCTCACCCACCTCTTCCCAGTGTGGGCTGGAAGTGTTTACCTTGCCCAGGCCCAGAGGTAGCCTGTGGTACTGATTGACCAAACTTTCTGCCTCTTCCTGCAGCCGTTAAGCACAACTGGCGTCCTCAGCTGCTCCTCCAGCACTTCCAACAGGTCAAGGAATAAGACTCGCTATCGGACCAAAGCCTTGAATTCTGAGGTGGATGAGAGCCTCTTTGGTGGCATTAAGGTAACCTTGCCCAAGCCCCACTGGGGAGCCCCACTGATGGTGCTGCCCTGGGCAAAGCCAGCGCTGGGCACGCCACCCCTTCCTGCTAACCCAGGCCCAGTGACAGGACTTGTGAACCCCCAGCTGTCTCACGCTACTGCCTGGTGTGTCTACATGAATGGGGTATCTGGCTTCCTTCACCCCAAAGTCCTCATGGCTGTGAAGCCTTTGAAACTATTGCAGCATCAAAAGGGAGGCTCAGCTGCAGAGAACTCACAGCAGCTCAGTGAGAGCCTGGCGATGGAGCGGTGAGGGCACTGGACCGCGGCTGCCCAGAATAACATACTCCCCCTGCATTCAAGAGGAACAAATCCTCTTCCTTTCCCAGCTGCTCAGCTAAAGCAACTGCTTGGCTTTGGGGAATGAGCAGGTCTTTATCTGCAAGCGCCAACCAGCCCCGAGGCTGACAGCTCCTCTGGCTGCTAGCAGGACAGCCGGTGTTTCTTGGGATCGCTTGGCTCGCGTGAAGTCAGGAGGACACAGACAAGAAGGAAAGAAGGCCACATGGAGAGAGGGCTGGTGAAGGCCTGAGAGAGAAAAGTGAGAGCAGGGAGATACCCATGTGGTGTGAACATAGCTGTGAACAGAGCAGAAAGATGTCATGTGAGCCCTGGCATGAGCCTGGGCAACAGGGGATGGGAGGGGAGAATTGACGTCTGCTCTGCACCGCTCTAGCTACGCTGACTTGCCCAGGATTTAGGACAGGCCGCTTCCTCCAGCTAACTCAATCCCTCGGCATCTTCTTATTTACAGCAAAGGAATCAGGAATGCACTTGCACTTACAGACTGTTTGGGGTCCACAGAGTATTTTCCAGGCAAAGCAAAGATAGATGTGGAAATGGACGCAGGGCCGCAGAAACAGTCCTGCTGCCAAGCAAAAGACAGGCCAGAAAAAAGCCTGCTCCTGCTTCTTCCCTCCGCCTCCTGCCGGAGGAGAGTGCAGGGCGTCTGTCCAGCGGCAGGGGGCAGGCGCTGCCTGTGGCAGGACTAGGGGCATCCGTGGCGCCGCCAGGCCGGTCGGCAGGTGGCGCGGCAGCAGGACAGGCGGGGAGCCGAGTGGGGGCGCCACCCAGCCCAGCCCCTCCCCCACTCGGGAGCAAAGTCACTGCTTTAATGGCAAATGAAATTCTCTTGTGTTCAAACGTTTCTGAAATAAGTGGTTTCATTATCTTATTATCTAAGCCCTGCAGTCAGAACATTTTTTCCTCTAAATTGCATATTTCATCTGTCTCATTCTTGCTGAATTTTAACTCCCTGCCTCCTCGGCACATTAGATTTAAGGGCAGACCGCCACCAAGCCATCCAGTCACTTCTAACTCCCTCAATATGGCTTCTTTGTGGGGAGTGGGGGAATCAAAGTAAATTGATCATTAGGATTCAAAATCGTGAGCAGCACAGATTGGATGAGTCTGTAACAATTAATGTCACTTCAAACCCACAGTGTGATCCAAGAGAGAGGATTATTTCTTCTTTCATAATTATGGAGAGAGGAGGAGGACAGGTCAGAAATCCAGGGTCCTAGAGACCCCAAATGTTTATTCCTGGAGGTTTTAGGTTAGGAGCACATTGACACTGGCACACCTCACCCACCTCCTGGGATGTCTGCACAAGCTGTACAGCCACGTTTTCAGAAGAGCCGGTGGTGATAGAACACACAGTCAAGTTCAAGTGCAGGGAAGCCTGGTTTTGGTGGTCCTACAGCCAGGCCCCCTGGTCTCCTGCCACTGCCAGATGGGAGCTCTGGAGAGGAACGTTGCACCTGATGTTCGGACTGGCCAGCAGGAAGGTGAATTCTCTGTCGTCCTTCCTGTCCCCACAGTCCCTGGCCCAGAGCGACAGCCCTGTGGTATTGCTCCGAGACAAACATGCCATTCGGAACACGCTCAGCGCCCTGGGCTTGGAGCACAAGCCCGAGACCATCCAGCTCATCACCCGAGACCTGGTCCGGCAACTCGTGTGAGTAGCCCATAAAAGTTGCCCCCCACCCCAGTCACACGTCTGCTGAGCTCCCTGCAGCCGAGGGAACCTCCTGGTTCATGGTCGCCTCCAATGCATATTGTTCACCCCTTCTTGTTTTGTAGCTCTGCTTCTGTCTTCTTTTCTTCCCCTCTTGAGCCTATCATTGCTATTGCTCTAGACCTCAGTGTCTTTCTCTGGCTGCTGCAGAACTGAAAGGCTGCTAAAGGGAGGTGCCTCCCTGTTCTCTCTGAGCCCCCAGGAATGCCCTTGGGAAGGGGAATGGTCCAAAAAGGATTATTGCCTTTGGCTGCAGAGAGAATCTACCATGAAGGGGAAACAGCCTGATGCCTAATTAGCCCCAGGCTTCTCAAAGTCCCGAGGCACTAGAGGAGATCCCTCAGGGCTCTGGGGCGTTCCTCTGGGACTAGTTCAATGTGCCTTCTCTAGGGCTGTCCCGGGTTTGCTCCTTCCTGGGGACTCGGGTCCGCTGAGCCGTGAACCCCAATGCTGAGCACTCTATGGCTGGACCTTCATTCCTGGAAACCCTTCTCCTGACTCTGGCTCAAAACCACTTGCTTAAAGCCAGAATTCCCAGAAAGTGTTAACCATGCCTGGAGCTGGGAGGTGGGAGGGACACAGTTCCAGGATCTGGGTGTGGCTTCAGCCCTTTGAGCACAGAGGCCAGCAGTCCTGCAGCTCCCTGGGTGGCTGCCGGGGAGTGGTGGGTGCCTGACATGTTGGCAGCAGTGAGGCTGTGGGGTCTGTGTGGGGCTCAGATCACCCTCACCAGACCATGCTATTTGGATCATGCCATCAGAGCCCCATGAGATCTTGGCTGAACCCCAAATATCCACTCATTGCCCCCCCACCCCCCGTTTTATTAGATGGGGTTTCACTTCCTGCCCAGCACTGCGTCCTGCCGGTCCCTGTTAAAGTGCCCCACCCAGAAGCAGCTTTCTTCCCACCCCCCTGCTCCCGCCTCCATCATTAATGTCTGTCATTTGTTTGTAATCATTATAATTAGCTATTGGTTTGTTGAATGCTTTGGGCGGCTGGAAAGGAGAGGTCTATAGGCTCGTCTCTCACTGCTGTTGATCAGAGATTTTAATTAATATTTAGGGTTCAAAGCTTCTGTCCAGGCTGGATGGACAGGGATGTTTAGGTTTCTCAGCAGCTTCCATTTCATCCTTGTCTGGCGTCCCTTGCCTTTTTTATGTCATCCATGAGGAATAATCTATTTTTAAAGTTCAATTCATCAGCTTGTTTGAGTTCTCACTCTGTCGAGCCCTGTTTGAGGTCAGGGCTGAGATGGTCCATGCCCAGGAGGGATGTGGACTAGTCAGGGACCCTGAGTTGGGCAATGGGTGTAGTATGGTGGGGGGGGGAGAGGAGGGGTCTCTACTGCCCTAACACAGGCATGGGGAGCGGTGTGGTGGTGGGGGGGCAGGCAGACTAGGGCGAGCCTTGCCTGTGACGCCTTTTCCTGTGTATCCGTGTGTAGCCACGTTCTCTCCTGCCTTCAGCTCAGTCCCACTACATGTTTGTGATGGCGGGAGGGGAGGGGAGTCCCAGGGAATCCTCCCCCACCCCACTTCCTCCCTCAATCTTCATTTCGTTCATTCTGGTGCCAGCATTCCCACCAAGGACCCCTCTGGGGAATCCCTTATCATGAGTCCTGAGGAATTTGAGCGAATCAAATGGGCATCCCAAGTCCTGACCGCGGAAGAAGTGGAGGCCAGAGAGCAGAACTTAAAGAAAGAGAAGGAAGCCATTGTGGTAGCTAACCTCTCAGGACTGGTCTCTGGATGGGGGTGTGGTCTCCAGTCAGGGAGGAGGTGTGATTGGGGTGATGAAGGCATGTTGTCAAGTGAAGACCAGGAATGACTGGGGGCACGGGTGGGCTGAGAATCTGAGGTCCCGACAGGGTTGGGGGGGCAAAGCGGACATCACACTGGGCTCCCCTATCGGGACTGGGTGGGTGCCCAGGGCGCAGAGCACAGGATGTCACCCAACCATCCAGACTGGTCTCCTGCAGGATGCAGTGACCACCCGCAAGAAGGTGATGAAACAGAAAGAAATGATTTGGAGGAATAACAAGAAGCTCAGTGACTTGGAGGAGGAGGCCAAGGAGAGGGCTCAGAGCCTCCTGCAGAGAGCCAGCAAGCTGCGCATGGAGCAGGAGGAGGAGCTCAAAGACATGAGCAAGGTGGGCCGGCGTCCCCGCCTTCATGGGCACTGCTGCTGTCCTCCAGTCATGTGCTGGACACTGGCTGGAGGGTGGCGGTGGGTGGGGCCGGAGGGCGAAGTGGGGGCTGGCCTTGGCACAGATGGGAGGAGTGTCACCTACATGCAACCTCTTTGGGGAGGACAGGCTGCCCTTGCCCTGCCAGTGGTGTGGCCTTGGGCAAGTCATTCTCCTTTAAGCCTCTTCATAGGTACGATGAAGGTGTTAAAAAAGATCTGGCAGAAGTGCTAAGTAGCAGGATTAAAGAAATAATCCTGGGAGAGAGATTTGCAAGCTGTGGAGTGATAAGTGTGGAGATAACACTTTGATTTTTACCCTGCTGGTTTGTAGACCACAGAGGTGACCAGGCAGCCAGGCTGTTGGGCTCTTTGAAGTGCCCGAAGAGCCTCCTCTAGCAAAACTGCAAGGACCAGAGGCTCATTTTATTTCATTTTGTTGCTCATTTGCATGTGATTCACTTCCCAACCAAATGGAAAATACTGACTCCCAAGCGTTTGCCTCCACGTTGTCTTTCTGGTAAATCCTTTCTACACACACCTGCTTTTATTTTCCAGAGCTTTTGCTTTGTCATTTTTATTGGTGGCCCCATGGTTTCTCATACCCTTTGGTGTCCCATGGGCTCTTCCTGCTTAAAATCTAGAGGCTGTGGACTCTGTAAGTGTTGTAGTTTCCCTGGGAGTGGAACAGAGGGTCTTAATTTGCTGTTTTTAGCTCCCTATAACAGTGAACATTTTCCTGGAAATGTGTGTACACACACACACACACACACACACAGAGGCAAGTGACTATTATAGAGGAGAGGGTCTGTCTAAGACCCAACACCCAGGAAGATGCCGTTCTGGCCTCTCCCTGAAGCACAGACTAGGGCTTACCTAAAGCCCACGAGTGTTAAAGCTGAACTCTGTCAAGGGGAGAGGTGAGTATAAGAATTTGAGAACCTGTGTGTTTTCTGGGCTTTGCGTGGCTTGCACATTCCCAGCACACCCACTAACCTGAGCCCAGCTCTGCCTCCACCTGGCACACCCCACAGAGCATCCCCTCCCCCCAGGACCAGACCTAGTGCCACATTCCATTTCAACTTCACTCCCAGCTCATCCTTAATGCCAAGTGCCATGCCATCCGGGATGCCCAGATCCTAGAGAAGCAGCTGATCCAAAAAGAGCTGGATGCAGAGGAGAAGCGGCTGGACCAGATGATGGAAGTGGAGAGGCAGAAGTCCATTCAGCGGCAGGAAGAGCTAGACAAGAAGAGGAGGGAGGAGCGGATCCGGTAAGGCAGTGGTTGGGTCTCTTCCCTTCAACGCCATTTTAAGCATCTTTAGGTCCATGCAAGACTCACAAAGAGGGAAGGTACCAGAAGAGGTCATTACTACCATCTATTATTACTATCTCTAAACCTTTAGGCAGTGATTAATAGAGCCACAGACTTTTCATGCTTTTCCCCCAAGATCACACTGGTGATTTGAAGTCTGGCACAGCTTGGGCACATTTCCCCCTGTGCTGAGTCCAGGTTCCCATCCCCAAATGCACCAGGACTCACAAGTGTGTGGCTTTTGTTGTTCCATCTCTTTCCTTCCTCTCCCAGCCCCCCAAATACTTCCTCTTGGCCAGTGGCTCTGCTGTCCCCTCCCTCACTTCACCAGGCAGGCTGAGTGACCTGTCTCTGTGCCTCCCTGGCCTTCCCTCTGCTTCCTGTGTGCTTGGGGGGAAGGGGCCCCTTATTATTCATTTCTGTAGCTCCTGGGCCTTGTGGAGTGTTTGGCCTGTAGTAGGTACTTAATCCGTGTTAGAATGAACAAATTTATTCCCCTTCATCTTGCAGAAAAGGACAAGTCCCAGAACAGGTAAGTCATAGTGTCCCCGATTTAGAACACCAACCACATGGTACATGAATTACCTCTATAAATATCACCCTGAATGGCAGCCCTCCCTCATCTGTATTCTGTTCTCCTGTGCCATTCATCTCTATTTCCAGGGGGGACCTGAGGAAAGCTTCCCATGCCTCTTCAGGGCTCCACAGAGTTAGAGAGCCTGACCTCTCCTTCCTTGGGGCTCTGCTCTCACCCCGGGTACCTGGCAAATCATAGTAGGCCCCCAGCAACGTTTATTTAATGGCTAAGCGGCTCTTCATCTTCTGCATAAACAGCTCCAATAAAGGAAAAATCTCGTCTCATTAGGCAGCTCTAATGATTTGAACTGGTCCTTTTATTGAGTGCAGACCTGCTTCCCTCTTTTACTCATTACTGCTGCTTATTTCATCTGGAGTCAGGAAGCCACTCCATTTGGAGATTCATCTTGCCCGCCTCCCCTAGGTTCTTCCTCTAATATGAATCTTTGCTTTCAGTCCATACTCAGGTACCCTGGGGTCTGGATGGCTCCAAACTCATTGATATCCTGATAATACCTCCACTATCTCTGGCAACACTGTAAAATCTGTTTTCTCTGCCTCTCGATGTGGGACTGGGCTCACTGAGCAGAGTCTTTGCCAGATGCGGCCTGTCCATCACAGTTGACAGACAGAAAACATGCGCTAGGAAACCAGAGACCGCTGCCAGACCAGGCATGGGAGCTGGGTGGGAGGCCAGGTCCGTGGGGTGAGAGCAGAGCCCCATGGGCTCTCTGAGTCTGTGCAGCAGCATGGGGGAATGCTCTGCTGGACCCCTGGGAAGACTTGGGAGATGGGGGGTACACTCCCGAGTCTTTACACTCTGATGTGGGAAATGCAGCATGATGGTCGTTGCACTCTGAGGCGAACACATGGAGAAGGGCAAGCCCCCGAACGAGGAGCTCGGAAGAGCGAGCACCTACCCCAAGACCTGGGGTGTGCTTTGGTGTCAGCCCTGCAGTGTAGCATGAGCAGGAAGTACGTGCAGCGCTGTTCCCAGGATGCCTCCAGTGTGGGGGTTACTTGGGGCAGGGCAGGACATTTATTTGGTCCTGGCGCCACCCTGGGGGTGACAGTGATTTGGACGGATGCTGTCCCCAGCCTTGACGTCTACGACCCGATGACCTGTCCCCTCCCAGGGGAAGACGGCACATCGTGGAGCAGATGGAAAGGAACCAGGAGGAGCGGTCCTTGCTGGCCGAGCAGCGCGAGCAGGAGAAGGAGCAGATGCTGGAGTACATGGACCGGCTGCACGAGGAGGACCTCAGGGTAACAGGCGGCGATCGCTGTGCCCTGCCGGCAACAGTGGCGAGGCGTTCCTCCCTCGGGGTTTCGGGGTGTGAACTGAGGTTCTGTCAGGCACATGCCCATTTCCCAACATCACCACTGTCAGCATTTTATAGCCATATAAAACATTTATTTGGTCCTGGCGCCACGCTGGGGGTGACAGTGATTTGGATAGGCGCTGTCCCTACCTCCTGGGGACTTGGGGTCTGAGACAGACATTTTCATGTGAGCAGACACAGAAGGGAATGGATGACTGCATGTTGGGCACAAATAAACACAGACATGCTTTATGGTCTCCTCTCAATTATCCAGGGATATTGTATACTTTGCAGGTGAGCAGTGGGGTGTCTGAGCTCCAGACTCCCTGTCGTCACCGCCTTCCATGTCCCCGCGTCACGGCATGGAGGACCAGCCCTTCTTAGCCTAAGTGAGACCAGTGTGCTCATGCACCGTGGGAGATGTGGTGACACCCCTGCACTGGCTCAGCAGAGTGTAAACAGCCCCCTTCTAGTGTCGGAGCTGCAGCAGCTGGAAACCCCTGGCACAGGGCAGGAGCTGGCCAGCACTGGGGCCAATTGTGGCCTGTTCCCCTCTATTTTTTATTTTCCACTTTTGAACATTTCCACACACACAAAAAAGCCAAAAGAACCGCACCACACCCACGGATGACTTAATCATTATTTAGTTTAATGGTTGTTAACTTGCTTTGGTTGCTTGTCTCTCTAAGTGTCTATACGCATCTTGCTATTGTTAAGCAATAACAATAGCAAGTTGGAAAGTAAGCTGCGGATATCATGACAAATGATTGCTAAATGCTTCAGGAGAAAGACAATTCTTTCAGGTGTTCACACACAGGGGTCATACCCCCCTCTCGCCTCCCTCCCATCTAAATATCTAATCCAATAATTTTGTAATATATTATTTAAAAATATTTATTTATTTATGCGTACAGAACTGGGGGCCAGAGGTGCTGGGGCGGTGAGAGGATTCACCAGAGACAGAGCAGGGAGCAGAACAGGCAGATCAACGAAGTACACTGCAGAGGGGAGCAGCGGGCGGTCAGGAGAGGGTTGTCGCCCATGTGGGTGGGTCAGCTCCCTGGTTGGGGGAATCGAACTTGTGCTGAAGCAGCTGAAGCAGTTTGATAGTGCTGCACTTTAACCCATTGCACCACCAGGGAGGGCCCAATATCATATCATTTTTAATCCAAGTTCAAATTTGCCCAACTGTTCTAGTTATTTTCTTTTTTCTAAACCAGGATCCAGCCGAGGTTCACACTGCAGTGGCTTAAGTCTTTGGAGTCTCTTTTGATCTGGAAGAGTTTGTTCACTCATTCTTGCATTTAGCCTTATAGTTTTGCAGTGCATGCTGAGAGGTCAAGGCCAACAGGCCAGGCCCCTTGCAGGTTCACTGCGACCTGATTGTCTAGTGGTTTCTCATGGTGCCATTGAATTTGTGGACATACACTCTATAATTTTTCTTCTGTGTTTTGGGACCATTAAGTTGTCCCTGCCCTGTGCACTTGATGGTGGTGAGTGCCAGGGCCCCTGAGAGAGCTCATGGGGGCTTAATGCATCGGAAGTGGCATCTGTGTGAAGAGAGGAAGAAGGCAGGTAGATCGGGTTCTTAGGGAACAAGAGGCCATCCTCCAGGTAGCCGGTGTGAGGAGGGAATTCAGGACCCAGAGACTGAGACTTGACCAAGATCCTGGCTTGAGAGGAGGAGGAGTGAGAGGTCCATGTGCCAGGAAAAGCGAGAAGGGAAGGCCGGGTGGTAGGTAGACTGGGGGAGCCAGCACTGTGTTGGGAGGCTGTGCCTTCCCTTCTAAGGCACTGCCTGAGTCCCCAGGAGGTGTTCTTAGGTAATTTTAGGTAGAAACCTGAGCCTCCCCAGCACAGAGCTGCCCTATCATCTCAGGGTCATGGAAGAGCCGGCTTTGCCTACCCTGTTAGCCTGGTGTAGAAAAAGGAAGGGAGTTGAATTTGTCTGGGGTTGCTTTGAAATGTCTGTAAAGATAAGAAACAGGGACAATTCTTTGACTTCTTGAAATGAAAGCAACCTACAAAACAACAAGCCAAAAGGTAAACAAATAGGTGAAGCAGTAAGTCAATCAGTATTTGATTTTATACCTGCTAGAGCTCAGTGGCTGGTGGCTCCTTTAGCTCTGGGGGTCAGTGGAATTTGAATAAAACCTGGGGTGCCATGGCAGGCTCAACAATGGCAGGAAGGAGAGAGAGGAGGAGTATGAAAGAGAGAGTGGCCGAGGGCAGAGCCAGCCTGGCGGTGGTGAGAGTGAGGACCTGGCTGGGGGCTGACCTGGCTTGGAAGGCTTCCTGAAGGAAGTGGCAATGAGCCATGCTAAAGGAGGGCTAGGAGGGCTGGCAGGGCTGTGTGGGATGAGTTGATGGAAGCTGGACTGAGGAGGATGCATGTGTAGTTGTGTGTGTGGGGGGTGTTAGTCTTTGGAATATGGGGTGAGGTGAGGACAGGTGGGAAGGTAAGCTGATGTTGGTAAAGCGTTTGAAGTAAGGAGTGTGAGTTTGATTTAGGGGCAGAGAGACCAGCTGCACAGACCCCCCACAGACCTTCCCATGGGTATCTGAGTATGCACTGGGGCTCAGAAGTCTCATCATGGCCCCTTTCTCAGAAGGGAGCATGCCCTCGGGGTCACAGGTGATGCTGACCTCCATGGCTTTTGTGGTTTTCTGCAATTTCTTCTCTTTCTCACATGCTGACCCCCTACCTGCTGAATTTGTGACAATTTAATGAGTGATTGCTATTTTCCTTGCATTGGGGTATGTCACGTTGTGTCCTTTGGCCGGAAGAGCTGACACAAAAGAAATGAATGGGGATCCACCAGGCTGTGTGTATCAAATCCCAGTAGGTGTGACCCTATCTGACCTGAAGAGGGAGTTCAGAAATGGAGAGCTGAAAGTTGGGGCAAGCAAGTATAATTTCCTGAAGATTGGACTCTAATTGAGAGAGCCCAGGTTCCAGGGTTCATCCATTGTGTCACCTTGGGCAAGTCACTCAAACCTGGGTGTCTGTTTCTTTATCTGCACAAGAAAGAGAAAAGGCCTAACTTGTAGGGGTTTGGGGCATATTTAGATTTGAGACGGGCTATAAATAGAGAGAGCCAATGAGTAGAAAGTCTTCCATTAGGATGATACTTATTATTTTAACCATATTCAATAGAGATCAAGAGTTTGGGCTTAAATAGAAGGAAACAGAGGCAGGAGGGATGTACCGTGAGCAAAGCCATAGGGATAGGGCTTAACCTGCCAAGTGGGGTACAGCGAATTTTAGGAAATCAAGTGTCAGGGCCGCTTGGGGCCAGGATGAGCTTGCAAGGAGGCCCTTTGTCCTTGAAGCCAAGGACAGAGGCGGTTGACTGTGGACAGTGGTTTGTCCCCGCCTCTGTCTCGCTGATAGGCCCGTGTCTCTGGTCTTGTCTCCTCCGATACTCACTTCCTTTGGCTTGCAGGACCTGGAACAAAGGCAGCAGCAAAAACTGAAGATGCAAGCAGAGATTAAGCGCATCAATGATGAAAACCAGAGGCAGAAGGCGGAGCTGCTGGCCCAGGAGAGGCTGGCTGAGCAGATGGTGATGGAGTTCACCAAGAAGAAGATGGTAGGGCCTGGACACTGACCCTGGGGCTCCGCAGCATGCCTGTGCTGGGGAGAGCATGGAGGGAACCCCCCGGAGGGCAGCGTGCCTTCTTGCCCGAGTCCTGTCCTGAGCTCAAGGACTTGACATCTTTTCCTCCTCATTGTGGCCAGACCACTTGTTCAGTAACAGAGAACAGCCTGCAAAAGACACCCACATTAGTGTGTTATTATCCTTGTTAACACCTTTGATTAGAAGTTGGGATGAGGGTCAGGTGCAGGCTGGGCAGAAAATGAAAAACTATTGGCGAAAGTGATGTTTTTGTGGATTCCTCGTGTCTGGATAATTATATGCCCAGACGTCATGAGTCAGCTGCCCCATAAATTTCTTGTGAAAATTCCTATACTGGCTATCCCATGCTGGGTGCTAGACTGGAAAATAGAGCTTGTGCACACACACTGTGCAGGCTGCAGGAACTAGTGACAGAACATGGCACAGTGGACAGAGACCAACAGATACAGGAGGGGTGGGGGCAAAGCTGAATGAAGGGGTCGAGGAGGGACTGAGGTAGAAGGAAGCTGCAAAGCCTGGTTTAGGTGGAGTGTGTGGATTTATGTCAAAGCAGAAGGGAGGACACAGGCGACAGGAAGGTTATGAAGCCCTCAGATGTCGCCTCATCGGTGGATGCTGTGGGACCGGCAAGCACATCACACTTCTCTGTAGTCATGACTCTTAATGATGACAGGGGAGGGCGCGAGTTTAACTTGAAAAGGCGTATTTGATATTCCTGTATATTCCAATACAAACCACAGCTCAATGGGCTTATTTATTGGCTTTGGCTTGCTATTGGAATGTGCAGGGATGTGCAGGCAGGAGTGAGAGATGGGGCTGGAATGAGCAGGGCTCAGGCGCAGTGATGATTTACGAGCATCTGGTCTGTGCACAGTTCAGTGCTAAGTGCCTTGGGTTAGGACAACCTTGTGGACCTGCCACTGATTGATTCAAAATGCCGAATGCTTCTTTGAGGTCTAGTACCTGCCCAGAACAACCATTGAGCATTGCATGGAGCTCAGCAGCTATTTCCCTGCTTGGGTGAAGGTGGTGGCGAGGAGCTGGTCGCACATAGGAGCTGGTGAACAGTCCTGCTGGCTGCAGCCCAGTCTGGTGGTTGTCATAGGAAATGTGTGGAAATGGCACAGAGCCTAGAGCAGGTGTAGGGTGCTCGGGCCTGGAACCGAGTTGGGAGGACGGAATGATAAGGAATTGCTGCAGATTTCTGAACAGGAGAGGCGTATGTCTTCACACACAGAAGGGATTTGGCAGGAGCTGGGCAAGCTTGGACTCTGGCAAAGGGGTCAGGCCCCAGGGCTTACACAGCGCCGCGAGCGTCCAGGGGTCTTTCCCGACCTTGCAGTGATCTCTCTTCTGTACAGCCAGAGCTGAAGACAGATTCTTTGTGGAAACGTGTGGAGTTCCCTGCCCCCGAGGTGCCCCTCCAGGGCAAGGTGGAACAGCAGAGACCTCGACCTGACACACAGCAGTGTATGACTCATGAGTAGGGGACGCTTTGGGCCACATAGGAAGTCTGAGCAGGGAGAGCCAAAATTCTTTAAGGAGATCCTATTCAGCATGAGCAATGAGTCCAGTAGCAGTTGGCAACTGGGTTTGGGAAGCTTTTAAGGGCACGTCTGTTCTTTTGGAGAAGTGCAAAAGGGTGCTCATTTTGATGGTTCATTCCTGAGGTATCTGCCTGTCACTGTGGGACCATCCAGAACACTGGGTCATTTGCCCAGTGACTCATGAGATAAGCTCCATTGACTGCACTTCACAAGACAGGCAGGGGGCCTACTTGTTACTTCTGGAAACCCGGCCCAGTGGCCTCTCCGTGTGGAAATTGCCTGCAGTGTGGTAAGGGTGCCGGAGGCTGGTGTGCGATCTGGCACTCAGCCCTAGTTGAAAGCTTATTAACTGTGCAATTGGGCAGTGTTCAGAGCCCATTGTAGGTTCCCTCCCTACAATATCTACCCCTTGAGATGTTGTAAGGACCCCCTGGGATAATATGTGAGAAAGCACTTAGTAAACATAGGTATTGTATGAACGCAGATTGTTTTAGTACACATGGCAGGACATTGCACTCCTCTTGAGAGGAGCCGGGTGGCAGTGCAGAGGAAATGGATGTACGGGGCAGTGGCTGCATCTCTTTGCAAAGCTGGGGGACAGGCCAGAGGTGCGGGGTGGGTGTGGGAGAGGATTCACCAGAGACTGAGTGGGAAGCAGAACAGACAGGTATACTGAAATACACTGCTGAGGGGAGCAGTGCTGAGGGGAGACAGAAGTCTGCCGCGCCATGTGTGTTACCTCCCTGGCTGGGGATAGAACTCGTGCTGCAGTGGCTGTGGATCGCTTCATAGTGCTGCAGTTTGACCCGTTGTGCCACCAGGGAGGTTCCAGGGCACCAGAGTATGTGATGTGGCCTTTTTTCCTGGCAGGCACGAGAAGCAGAGTTTGAGGCTGAGCAGGAGAGAATCCGGAGGGAGAAGGAGATGGAGATCACACGCCTGAGAGCCATGCAGGAGAAGGTCCAGGATTTCCAGGCAGAGCAGGTAGCTGTGACACCTGCTTTCTTCTGCTTCCTCTCCCTTGACTGTCCCTTCAACAGTCCAGGTATCAACGTTGAGAGTGTGGAGTAGCCACCTGGGTGCAGATGGTTGCAAGCACAAGCAGCACACGCTGTGCTCAAGGCCTGAGGTTGCTTCGTACAAGCCCTTTCAATCTTACCTAATACTGCAGTGTGTCACCAGAGGAAGGCCACTCCATTATTAACCGTTTAAAAAATTAGCAATTGCAGAGCTGCCTGGAGGTGTGTGAGGTGTAGGGAAAGAGCTGGGTGAGTGGGGTGGCCAGAGGGGGCCTCCTCAGGGTATCTTCGGACCTGAGAGTTCAGTGGGATTCGCACTTGTTCCTTCCAAGAAGAACCTAGTAGCTGGAGGAACACGGGAGCTGCGCAGGCAGGCTGAGTCAGCTTGCAATGAGGACTCCCTGGGAAACTCAGTGGGACCCCAGCTTCGGCCCGGTATGGGCCCCTCTGCTCCCTTCCCAGGATGCCTTGCGGGCCAAGCGCAATCAGGAGGTGGCAGACCGAGAGTGGCGTCGGAAGGAAAAGGAAAATGCCCAGAAGAAGATGGAAACGGAGGCCAAGCTGCGGGAGAGCCGACTGGAACAGGTGGCCTTCAAGGAGCACACTCTGGCTGTCCAAGTGCAGCGCGACCGCGACGAATTTGAGAGGATTCTCCGGTAGGAGGCTGCGCGGGCTTCCCTGCCTCATGTGGCTCTCGGGGGGCCGCGCTGGCTTCCAGTAGCAGCACCGTCCCTAGAGGGTAGAGAGGAGCTTGCTGCGGCTTAGCGATGGTCAGCAGGCGGGTGCCCTTCCAACTTGACTTGATGGTGGGATCAGCCAGATGGGCGAATGGTTGCATTCTGGTGATTAGAGAATTGGAAATAGCACCTGAAAGTGCATAAGGAATTGGGGATGGAAGGTGTAAGCCAAGGTGTAAATTGGTCCCTCTTTCTTCTCCTACTTCCATGTTCCCGGTGAGTTCGACAAAACTACAATGGGGGGCTTTGGAGAATGAACTTGGGCACCCAGGGCCGTGGGTCATTGGAACATGGCTTTGAGTGACGTCATGCTATTCATCTGACAGTATGCATTAGCACATAAATTCCAGGCTCTGTGCTGGAGGCAGTGGGAGTAGTCGGGGTGGAGGGAAGACCGTCCCTGTCTGTGCATGTGGAAGCAAGGGCACAGACCTCACCTATATTTATCCATCTTTCCTGCCTTGCCAGCTCTTCACCCTTTGATTTTTGTTTCCTCTGGTGGTTCAGTGATAATGCCAACCCACACGTGAAGCCCAGCGTCCACATCCCTGTCTCCAAACTTAGAAGTTCTTTTTCTCACCATCAGATCTACACCCCAAGGCCTGGCCCATAGGCTACTCTGCTCTGCCTATTCTGATTTAGCTGGGTGACTCCGTTTGAGCTCTGGCTCAGGTTCTTAAGATCAGAATTTTCTTTTTTTCCAAAAATTTATTTTATTTATTTATGCATACAAAGGCTGGGGTGAAGACCAGAAGTGAGAGGATTCACCAGAGACAGAACGGGGAGCAGAACAGGCAGATCTACTGAAATACACTGCTGAGGGGAGCAGCAGGTGAAACAGAAGTCTGATGCCCCCTGTGGGTCACCTCCCTGGCCAGGTCAAGTGTGTGCTGCAGTGGCTGCAATAGCTTCATGGTGCTGAGAGTTAACCCCTTGTGCCACCAGGGAGGGCCCAAGATCAGAATTTTCAAAAGGAAACAAATTAAGTAAATTTGAGTTTGAATTGGGTCGAGGGAAGGATTCAAGATTCTTTCTTTTTTTTTTTTTAAGATTTATTTATTTATTTGTACTGGGGTACAGGCCAGAGATGTGGAGGGTGAGAGGATTCACCAGGGACAGAGTGGGGAGCAGAACAGGCAGATTGACGAAGTACACTGCTGAGGGGAGCAGCGGGCGGGTCAGGAGAGGTCTGCCACGCCATGTGGGTCACCTCCGGGGTAGGCAGGGATCGAACTCATGCAGAAGTGGCTTAAGCTTCTTTGTGCTGTGCTTTAACCTGCTGCGCCACCAGGGAGGGCTGGATTCAAGATTCTTATGCACAGATAAGGTTGGACCAGCTTTCTTAGTCTGCAAACTCTCACCCTTCCTTGGCACTGTCCTGGTGAGATGCTCACCATCTGGCCACCAGCCACCACCCACCAGCAGCAGACCCCTGGCCAGGCCAAACAAACCTGTAGGAATCTCCATTCTGCCAGAGCCAAGTTCCTAGTCCTTTACTGGCTGTGGCTTATAGCTTTCCTGCCCTTAAGGGTTGCACCATGTTCTCTGGATGCTCTTGAAGGAGACAAACTTCCTTAATGTTTCCAAAGATTCTTGTTTCTTTCCCCTAAGATTTAGTTATTTATGCATATAAGAACTGGGGTGCAGGCCAGAGGTACAGAGTAGGAGTGAGAGGATTCTCAGAGCGGGGAGCAGAACAGGCAGATCCACTGAAATACACTGCTGAGGGGAGCAGCAGGTGGGACCGGAGAGGCCTGCCATGCCCTGTGGGTCACCCCCAGGCCAGGGACTGAACTCTGCTGCAGTGGCTGCGATAGCTTCACAGTGCTGCGCTTTAACCCCTTGCCACCAGGGAGGGCCTTTTAACAAAGATTCTGTCCCTGGCTCCAAACTGCATTGCGGATGTCTCCCCTGCCCAGCCTCTGTGCCTGTGGATGCCTGCCTGTGCCCCTATGGCTGGCACTCATAAATGTTAATGGAAATAAATTAAAGTACTGCTTTTGCCATTGACCCATTTGTCTCCTCTTTGCCTGAAGCGCACATACCAGCTGGTTATTAAAGCTGGACCAGCCTTTGGAGAAGTTCAACTTTGCCTGTTGTTCTAGGTTGGCATCTAGACCTAGTGTCTCCAGGCCACGTGGTCACCACAGAGGGTGTCTTCTCAGAGTGTCTCAGCCATAGCCAGCCGCCCTGGCCTCCTGTGTGGCCTATATATGGACTTCCTGCTCCTAGACAGGGGCCTTTAGCTGTCAGTCTGTGGGCTAAGTGCCCTCCCCTGCCTGGTGGTTCTTAGAAAAACCTGATGCCAGGCTCCACCTCCGCAGGTTCCGATTTTACTGCTCTGTGCTGAGGCCCAGCCATGGAGGGCTTTGGATGCTCCCAGGTGATTCTAATGCAGGCAGACTCCACTGTCCACCTGTGCAGTGGACCAGGCCCTTCCTTTCTCAACTGCCTGACAATCTGGGGGCTCCCTGGTGACACACACTAGTCCGCCACCAGCCCGCCACCTCCTTCACAAAGCTCAGACAGCTGTTCTGTATGTGGGAGCCCTTCTCTCCGGGTGTGCTAGGAACATGGTATCTTATACACAGGGCAGTAGGTTAGGGGTCCTCTCTGATGGGCAGGCTGTGGAGGGTAGACTCTTTTGGGTGTGGCTTGGAGTTGAGCAGATACCCCCATGCAGTGGGTCCTGGAAGAAGGCTAGAGGAAAATGTGGGGGTGAACCAGTGCTTGGGGGGAAGGGGTCTCTGCTAGGGGAGAGCTCTGCCCAAGATGATTTTACATTTCTTTTTTGTTTTCCATTATGTTGAGAAAGAGATAAAATATCAGGCTGTGATGCTCTCATTTCCTCTGAAATGTGATTATATTTCATCTGAGTTCTTCTGAGCCTGTCTGGTCCAGATTAGCCACTTTTTCTGATGTCAGGGTCTATGATGTATTCCTGTCAGAGACTGCTAAGAGGAACTTGGAGAGTCTGATCAGTAAGAGAACTGAGAGAGAGAGGTTGGGCACCTTCTGTCTCCCAGCAGCTGAGAACAGCTGGCGTTACACAGCTCCTTTCTCTTCCCGCTCTGACTACCTGCCTTCCCTGGGTTGGTTGGTGTTGCCATTATTGTTGGCAGGAGGGAGGAAGGAAGCTAGGGAGCAGAGAGAGAAAGAAAGAAATCTTATATATAACAAGCTGGAGCGCAGTTATGCCTTGTTGCAAGGGTAGAAACAATGCTCCTGAATGGAGGGAGAGAAGGAACAAGTTTCCAGTGGGTGAGCCCTGGGCATGGGGCCAGCCACATAATTTGCAGGGCCCAGTGAGAAATGAGAATGTGGGGCTCTGCTCAAAATTAAGAATTGCAAAACAGCTACCGCAGAACACCCAAGCTCAGGCCCTTCCTAAGCCTGCCCATGGTGCCTGTCACATGCCTGAGGGGGGAAGGGAGGAAGCCTTTGGGGTGGACTGTGGTCTCTGCAGCACAGAGGGACCTCTCTCCACTGAAGGGGCCCACCCAGGGTTTCCCCACTTCCCCACTGGGTCTGGGTAGCCTGGCCCCTTCGACAGCCAAGGCCCTCCTGCAGGGCTCAGAGGGAGCAGATTGAGAGGGAGCGACTCGAGGAGGAGAAGAGGGCCACGGGGCGCTTGCAGCATGCCAATGAGCTCCGGTGCCAGGTGCGAGAGAACCAGCAGAAGCAGGTGCAGGACCGCATGGCCACCTTTGAGGAGGGCCGGCGCCTCAAGGAAGAGGCCCAGAAGCGGCGGGAACGCATCGACGACATCAAGAAGCAGAAGCTCGAGGAGCTGAGGTGTGTCTGGGCCCTTTCTCCCTTTGGGTGGGACTGGGTAGACTGGGGCCAGGAGCTTGTCAAGCACTAAGGGTGGGGGAGGGGCTTCTCCCGAATCACAGAAACTTCTGGACTTGGGTGTTCCCGGTTCTCTGGGAATTCCTTGACAGAGTTCTTTTGGGGGAGAGAACATGGCAGCAGGCTTGGAATGCAGCTTCCCTGGCCCACGCCTCCCTCCCCTGCCCTGTGTCCCCTGCAGAGCCACGGGCCTTCCTGAGAAGTACTGCATTGAAGTTGAACGCAAAGCCAACATCCTGCCGGTCACCTCCGTGAGCTGAGGGGAGCCTCCCTGTCTCCAGTGCCTTCGGGGACCCTAGTGCTGCTAACCCAGACTTTTTCTATATAGATTAAATCCAGTCTAATTCTCTTAGGAATGGCCCAGTGTTCTCTGTGGGGAGGTGGTTGTGACAGGGGCTGACTCAGAGGAGATGCGGCTCCTGGAGACTGGCTATGGGGTGTGGTCCTCAGGGGCTGGAATGGGGGGGGGCTCTGATGATTCTGCCTCTGAGTCAGGTGGTCCCTGTGTCCTGGGGTTGCCTGGCCTTTTGGGATGCCACCAGCGTGCCTACTTTCAGAACTGTCTTGTTTCTGCCCCATCCATGCCCACTTCAGAGGCATTTTCAGGCATGGAGCCAGGGGCTGGAGATGCTCTTAGGGCGGGACTGGGCGCTGGGGAGCGGCCTCTGACTCAGCCACATCTGTAGGGGGGGTGTGTTTGAACCTCGGGTTCACCTGCCTCAGTCTCCTTCCAGAGCCTTTCAACTCCAGGCAGGACTGAGGCATAGACACCTGCCAGTCCCTGTTCGGGCACCTGAGGCCAGGTCCTCTCCTGCTGCTCAGCCCCCCCACTGAAACCCCGCTGCCCCTCAATCAGGAAGCCAGGCTTGCCCAGTCCATCTCACTCCCACAGGGGAGTGTCCCAGACCCATCTTTCTCTAGGCTAGTTTGCCTCATCCCCCACCCCCAGGACTTTTCACTTATATACGCATTGAGGGGACACCCAGTGCTGGTACTTTCTAGACACTCAGTGGACAGAGCAGATCTGGAACACCACACACAGTCTTCTTGGTGCCAGTCTGCTGCTTTTCTCCTCCAGATGCGCGCCCCCGCCCCCCACTTCTTGTGCTTTCAGATCCTCTCAGCCCTTTTGGAAGGATAGTAGTGATCAGGTTCCTATTTAGGGCTGAAGTTCTAGCTTCTAGTGATGGAGCAATTTTCCTGTTTTTCTTTGTCCTGAGGAGAAAGGACTTCCCTTATGTGCCATCTTGTGCTCCCCTCCCCCAATTCCACTTCTCCAATCCAGAGCCTCCTTGTCTCCCTAGTCTGAGGAGGCAGAGGACAGCTGCTGGGCGCGTCCCGAGTGTTTACAACGCCAGGTTACAAGGGCCCCAGGCAAGAGTCCTCTTTTCATAGGGCCCAGGGAGAGTGGGCAAGCTGCTTTCGTGCTTCCCCTTCCTCAGGATAACTTCCCAGCACCTTCTTGTACCAGCTGTGTGGGGAGAGGCTTTACTTTCCTGCACCCTGAGTTCACCCCTTCTGTGGGGAAGGTTGGTACCTTCCTCTCTAGAGGTCTTGGAAAGATGTGGTCCCTAGGGACCTAGGGCCTAGGGCGAGAGGGTCATGCCACTGAGGATGTGGCCAATTCTGCAGCTGGCGCACTTGCTGGGTGTCTCTAAGCATCGCCCACTGCACAGTTAATGTTGCAGGGACCAAGGAGCCCTTACCTGTCCCGGGAGGCCTCTCTCCAAGAAATCCAGAAAGGGCCTTGATGCCTCAGGGTTGAGTCATTTGTCTTGGGACTGGGAAGAAGAGGTTCCCTAGAGAGCCGGCCAAGAAGGGCCCATTGCGGCCAAGAAGGGCCCATTGCTAACTTCTGTGCCCTCCCAGGGCAAAACAGGCCAAGCTCCTGGGTCAAGGCAAATACAACTGTTGCTGCTGGAGAAGCAGGTGAGGGCCTGCTAGACCCTGAAGCCTCGAGGTGACACTGCCTTGATGTGGCCTGGGCATGGCGGGTGGGCACCATAGGTTTCCCGAACAAAGGTCTACATCAGAGATGGAGATGTAGCCTGGGCAGGTGAAGACTGTTCAGGAGAGGATCTGCGTTCTCGCCTTGGCTCGGCCCGGTGAGTTCTCAGAACTGGCCCATGTATGGAAGAGATTTGATTTCTTCTCTTGGGATTCCCACTGGTGTGTAGATTCCTGACTCTTATTTAGCAGGAATCTGGTTCCTGCAAATGGCGCACTCCTGAGGACAGGAGGGCAACTGGCATCTGAAGCCAAGTGGCATCTTTTATAACGCCCCTGCATTCTGAATGGCAGTGGGGTAATTACAGGGAAGTTCCCTGGCATGAAGTAGGGTTGGTGGGATCAGGCAATGTGCTGGTGGTGTGGGGTGGCAGAACCCCAAGGGGCTGTGTGAGTCTAGCTTGCAGGGTGGGGGAGGAGCCTGGAAATAGAGAAGAGGAAAGCTAGAATTATCTTGTGACTCCATACCTGCCCTTCTCCCCAACAACAGCTCACCTGAACCCCAGGAACAACTGGCCTGCCCTCCCAGGCAGAGCAGCCTACCCTCACCTTGAGGTAGAACCTGTGGGCAGGCAGGTGGAGTTCCTCCTGCAGGGGTGGCATCTCCCTCCTAGAGTTGAGGGATGGAAGTAAGCTGTGTGCCTGCCCCTCCAAGCCAGGATCAGCTGTTGGGGGCTGGGCAGGTAGATGCAAAGGCGAAGCAGCGTAAGGAGACCTGGACGTTCTTAAGGAGTGCTGCCTGATGCTTTGCGTTGGTTGTAAAGGAATGAGAATGTTTGAAGTTCCACTCCCCTCCTTCCCCTGCCCAGTCTATCGCCATCTCCATGCGATGACATCACCCAAGAGGATGACTTTCTGCTGTGGTGTCTGCTCCAGAGAGCCGCTGGTCTTGGGAATGCCAGCCTGAACTGGTATGGCCTGGAAGGACCCTGTGTGGGCTCCTCTGTGGAATTTGAATGGGGTCTTTGGGCAGCTAGGCCTGGCATGCGCTCCTGCTCTGGCAGCTCTGTGCCAACCTGTGGCATGTATCTGTTGCTGTCAGGCTCCACTGTGGCTTGGAGTTGCCTCAGGGCCTTTGCACATGCTGCAGAAGCAGCTGAAGTTGGTATGACTCAGTGCCTTCCTGGTGGCAGAGCTGTCCCTGACTCAGTGGGGTGTTGGGGTGTCATGTAGCACCCCTGGGAGCATCCCATCACCACCGGTGACTTGGGTCACTGAGGGCATTAGTTGGTCTCAGTAAAAGCACTTTGATTAAGCTTGGATGAAAGGGGCTCAGAGAGTTCAAAGCCAGATGGGGCTTTTAGGGTAAGGAGGGTGGCCTTGGAGAGGACGATGGAGTTCAGACAAGAAGTGTGGGTGTAGAGGCTATGGATTCCTTACTCCCTCCTGCAGCAGGGAGCCTTGGGGACCGTGATTCACCCCGGGTCAGAGACTTCATTCCCATCTCACCCCCAGGGTGACCTTCTCCCCCTCTGCCCTCACCCTCTCACATTCCACTTGGAGAACTCTCATGACAAACCACACCTGGGTTACATTCCAACATCCTGGAAATCTAGAGTCCCAGAGAGGGCTGGGCGATTCTGGATTTGACTGACTTTGAAGAACTACACCCCTGCCTTTACCCCCGAAAGCTCCCTGTCCTCCTGGGATGGGGCAGTCACACCAACACCTTTGATGACCGGAGGCAGGTTGAAGTTTTGGGTGGCTTTTCCAAAAGACTCCCAGAAAGCGGAGTTGAGGAGGACGGTGTGGGAGAGGGGATCTGGAGAGACTGCCCACAGCAAATGAGCTCTTCTACGTGATCCTGGGGAAGGACCGTCCCTGCTGTGGGCTTGAGTGCCTGGGTAATGGGGATCCCAGGACACTCTGGTGCTTGAATCTCCTCTGTAAATGCGAATAAAATGACTGGACAGGTTCACTGCCTCAAAGGCAACCCAGTCCGTCTCAGATCGGCCGGTGCTCTGAAGTTCCGAACTGAGTCAGCACAGGTCTGCTGTGCCTCCACAGGCCCCAGTTCTGTGCTTTGGGGCCACACACAACAAGACCAGCTTTCCCACACTCTGCGCTAGCTTTGTGTGCAGACCCTGCATGGGGGATGACCAGAGCTCTGGAAACACAGGGCTCTTAAGCAGGCAGGGAGTGAGTTGTTGAGGAAGGAAGCAGGGAAAGGGGGGAACCCTCCACTTTGTCCCTTGGACTACCAGTTGGCAGGCAGAGGCTAGGCCTGGGAGCCCCACCCCCCACCTCTGTCCTCACAGCCCTGACTGGCTTCTTCCCTCTCCCAGTGCCCCAGCAACAGGGAAACAAACATGGGGAGCGGGAAGCTGGTCAGGCACTTCTTGGGGAAGCAGACACACAGAGGCTTAGCTCTGCCAGTCCCTGCTCGCTGGGCGGCCTGGGGCTGCTCCAGGGCAGAGGCCCCTGGTTTCCTGCAGGGTATGTCAGCTCAGGAGAAACTGCCTGAGCAGGGGGCATCCAGATAGAAAAGCAGAGGAAGTTTTATTTCTGTAGTTTCAAAGGTCGGGGCCACAGGATGATGGCTTAATTCATCGCAGGTGTGTACACATCCATGCACGCACAAACGTGCACAGGATTGCTGATGCGGGCCTGGGCCTCTCGGGGACTGGCTCTCGTGCTGCTGAGTGGCTGGCGGGCTGGGCTGGGTGGACAGTCCCAGAGGCTCTCGGCACCTGCACAGTGGCCTGTCCCCAGGGCTGACACGCTCTTCCCACCACTGGCCTCCACTCCCAGCCAGGCTTGCCAGGTAAGACCTCTGTTTAGGCACCTTGCCCCTGTCCCCAGAGCAGCTCAGGCTGTGGGCTGGCTCCCTGGCCCTGCTCCCCAACCCCGACTGGGCGCTCTGTGAGGGCAGACCCCACATTTCCTTGGCAGACTCCCAGGACCAGCTCATGCCCAGCGGTCTCTGGAGGAGGTGGCAGGTCCAGCGCTTGGCAGATCTCCGGGATGCCCGGATGCCCTTGGTCTCCGGTTCATCATCAGGAATTCACAAGCTTCTCATGAGCTCATTTTTGTTATTACTTTTTAAAAGAAAAATGTACTTTGTTTTTTTATCTTATCATTTAAAGGAGAGAAATGACATTTTTGAATGTTTCTTACGAAACGGACATTCAGGTACATCCAGTTTCACAAAAAATAATAAACAATTGACTAAAGCAATGTCATTGTATACAACACCCAGGCACGGATTAGAGCATTGCCAACACCCCAGGAGCCTACTGCCTGACCTATTAGCATCAGAAAAAGAAAGAGTAGTTACTTCTAGAGAAGAAGGGACAGAGAATGATTGAAAAAGTCACCAGCTGTTCTTTGCTCCACTTTGCCTTGGTAACAGCTGGACCCAGAGCACTTACTTGGGACTCTTTCCTCTGGGGCTCTGCTGATGAAACAGTGGGGTGGCGGCCCTTTCAAGGGAAGGGACATTTCCGTGCTGTTTGTTCTCAGGAGTCTCGGCCAAGAATGCAAGTTGTGTGCCTAGCCAGGCTCTCTTTTGGGGTCCCCTCCTTATAAGCTGGACTAGCAGGAATCCTAAGGTTAGGAACATTGGGCCTAAGGTCCCTCCCACGGACCCTAGCCCCATCCACTGCTTCAGCTCCTAGCACTACCCAGCTCTGAAACTGCCTCAGGCAAGCATCTCATCCTTCCTTTACAACAGACTCTAACATACCCCATCACACCCCACAAAGCCCCCATTCTCCTCATTCCTCCATGGCCTTACCTGGATTGGCTCCAAGCCTCGGGCTGGTGGAACAGCAGGACTACAGCGGGTCCTGGCTTGTCTGTGACCATGTCTGTGGGGGCCCCTTTCCGTCTTCTCTGACATTCAATATGGCTTTATACCCCACCCCACTGTGGCCCATAAGTCATGAACCCACCTCCCAGGCCTTGGGGTTACAGGTGAGCCTGGGAGCATGTGAGGTGGAGGAGGGGCTCAGCAGCCTGCACACTGTGTGCATGAGCGTGCGTCTGTGCGTGAGTGTGTGCACGCAGACCCCTGAGCCCTGAGGGGAGACAGGAGCTTGAAGTGTCTGGAGGCCTGAGGAGCCGGCTGGGTTGATCTGACAGTTGAAAGCAGGGCCTACAGGGGCTGTGCGGCTCGAGCTGCTGGGAAGGGCGCTTTAGAGGAAGGGTAGGTGACTGAGGCCATGGCATGCGCCCCCAAAATTTCATGAGGTGGGACGTACCCCCATTGCAGAAATGGTCTCTGGGTCCTTGTGCCGCTTTCCCCTCCTCTGTCTCTGTTCACTTTATAAACCTCTGTCTTTGATTTCTCAGTCTAGATGCAAATATTACCCACCTGGGGGTGTGACTGAAGGGTCAGGCCTCTGAGGGAGAGGTATGGGCTTCTCAGGGCAAAGCAAGAACCCTTGGGAGTTTGTGCGCTGGGGCCTCTCCTCTCCTCTCCTCTCTCTCACGTACCATGGGCCATTTGAATGCACTGTGTCTCTGTGCCTTTGCTAATCACTGTCCCAATCTCTCTCTGGGGGCACAGAGGGAACCCCATAGACTCTAGGCTTTATCCAGATCTTTATGGGGCCTGAAAAGGAAATGGGTGGGGAAATAATTGGGGTGGGGACTGATGAGGAAAAGGGAGGTGGAAGAGTTGAGAGAAGGCCTCAGGAGAGGGCCTTCTGCCTCTTCAGAGGAGGAAGCCCAGGAAGGAAACAGGCGGCAGGCTGGACCTGTGCTATAAAGATGAGGTTTTCTCACAGCACCCCGCCCCCTCCAAGCCCTGTGCAGGGCCCAGGGCCCAGGGCAAAAAGGCTGGAGCTGCCTTGGTAGCCCCAAAATGTGAGATGGTGGCAACTAGCCCTCAATGGGTGAAAGGAGAGTGGTAAGGGTGATCTTGAGGGGCTCTGGAGTAGAACCCTGAAAAGTGGTTCATTTTTTAGACTCCAAAATGAAGTCATCCCCCAGGAGAAACTCCTCTGATGGACCCCAATTCCTAGTTTAATTTGGCATCAGAGCTCCTCATCGCAAACAACCTCCAGCATCCTCTTCCCAATGCCCTTGAGTGTGAGGTGAGTTTACGCTGTACAGCAGGGTTTTGGAGCGCACATTAGTTATGGGTTAAGTTTCCTATTGCTGAGGTGAGCACATTCATATTCGGAACCAGCCCTTGAATCTTGGGACTCCAGTGCCATCTGTATTCTCCCAGAGCAAAGGATGAAAATTCTAGCCAAACTTGAATTTAATGGATAGAGTCTGAGGTCTTCTACAGCATAAAGCAAACCTTATTGTGGTCTCTGGCCCTCCCCCTGCCCTTACAACTTTAATTGATGCTCCTACCCTAAGTATGGCCTATTCTAAATCGAACCCCAGACTCAATGCTAATCCAGCTGTAACCTCAGATCCTAAGTCAGTCTCAATCTGGTTTTCCATGTTGCTGTAACTGCACTCCCTAGCCTGGCTCTGAAAGGCAAGAAAACTCTATTCCTGTCATCAGACCAAGCCCAGGCATAAACCCTAACCTAAACTGTAGCTGTTATTCTAATCCTAATCTCAATTCAACTCCAATCCCAACCTCAATACTGACCTCAATATCAGTCATAATTTCAACTAACCAACCCCAATCTAATCCCAGTTCTGGCCTTCATGCTGACTCTAACATGTGCAAAAATCCAGAACCCAATTAAGCTCCACCCCCACACCTTTAACATAACCACAATCTCACCCCTTTGTCTTTCTCCCTCTTCCTGGTCACCTATTGTCCCCTCCAGCGGTCACTCACCCCACATGATTTCTCAGGGTCTGTGCTGCTACACTGGGCCCCTGTTGGGAGACCCTGGACTGAATCAGGATTCTGGGTGCCCTCACTTGGCCGGGCCCCAGCATCATCACCTGGCCGGATCCTCATTCTTCTGCAAGCCTCTGTTTCCCTATCTGTAAAGAGAAGCTAATGATCCCTGCTGTCCAGAGTGTGCGGGACTTCCCATAAACCTCAAAATAAATAAGGAAATGTGGATATTCGCTGTGTACACCACGGCACCTGTTATTGTTGGACGTGCAGGTGAGGGGCTGGAATGCTGAGATGCAGAGATGTGTGGACTCCTTGACCTTCCTTATTGTTCTTATTTCCCCAGAGGAGTGGGCCCTGGCAGCACCCCCAACCCTGTAAGGACCCCTCTTCCCGCCCTGGCCTGCCTGTGCCCCTAAATCAGGGAGGGGGAAGGAGCTCTATGAGGGGATGGAGGTGCTGAACCAGAGCACTCAGCACCCAAACTCCCCTCCCCCCACTTGGGGGAACAACCAAGGAGTCCAGGAAGGCACAAAGCTGGTTTTAGGACCCCCCACCGGCCACCCTTCCTGGACCAACCAGCAAAGCTGGGTCTTAGACTTTCTCCTTCTGCTTGCCAAGACCCTCTGCGGCCCAACTGCAAGCTGTCCAGAGCTACATGGGCTGAGTCACCCCAGGATGATGGCCCTCAGATTCCTCTCCTGGACACAGCAGCAAGGCACCAAGTGACCCCTAAAGAAAGATGCACAAAGAACCATAGGCACCCCCTCTCAGGCCTCCCGCACTGTTCTCTTACAACCACTCTTCCACGCTGCTGCTCTCTGCTGTTCTCCCCTCCCGTGGCTCACCTGGCTCCCTCCACACACCTGGCTCCTTTTGTTCAGGCCTCAGAACTGGTTTTCCTCCTGTGTGGGAGGTGGGGGGATGCCCCACGAACCCCTGCTCCCAGGGACTTCATGCTCAGGGATGAGAGCGAGGGCAGAGAGTGGAGGGCCAGGGCTCCAGAGGGGACAGCAGGGGAAGACCCTGTTCCCACATGCACCCCTTCCCCTCCCCCTTCCAGCCTAGGAGGCCTGGCTGCCTTTGAAGGGCCAGAGGCTCTGGGGAAGGCACTGGGCACTCTTGGGTCCTTTCATCTGCCTGGGTGTCGCCCCCAGCGCAGGGTCCCTGTCTTTGGACCCTTTTCCACAGGCCTCATCCTGGGCGGTCCCTGTGCTTGTCAGGATCCCCCTGTAGGGTTAGGGGGTACTTGGAGGGTAGGGATTTGGGGTGCTGAAGCCTGCACTGAGGGGGGAGGGGAGGAATAGGATGTGTGTGGGGGGAAGGGCATCAGTGTAATGTGAAAAGGCCTGGGCACCCTTGCTCCCCAAGCCTGGTCTCTTTCCTCTTCCCCATTTCCCCCAGGGAGCAGGCAGCAAATAAGTGGTGCTGGAGCTCTGTGGACGCTGTAAAATGGGGCAGCTGCTGTCACCCCTAGGATGGGGCCAGGAGGAAGTAGAAGTTTAACAGGTGCCTAATTACTAGTCCCGCTGGCCACCCTGCGCCACTCTCGGGATAGGGAAGAGCTTGGGTGCGGGCTAGGTAATGCCTGGGTAGGCCACTCTGTCACCCCGCTAATTAGGGCTCCAGGGACTCCTCCCCAAGGCGGGGACCAGGCCCCCTCCCTCCCATAGAAATAACTCCGGCCGGCAGCCAGGCACTCATTGCACCTTCCTGCCACCCCGGGCAGTGTCTGGGTCTCAGCTCCCCCTCCAAGGTCCCCAACACCCCCACTACTGCCGGCCCCCCCAGCCGCCGGCCCCAGGGATACCCAGCCCAGGCGGAGGAAACACGGAGCCTAGAGCCATGGGAAATCGAGGAGGAACCTTCCACCTTCTGCTCGTGTGCCTGAGCCCAGGTACGCAGCACAGCGGCAGGGTGCCATGACGACAGGCAGGCCAGGGGCAGCGAGGCTGGCGAGGCTCGCGGGGCTGGAGACCTTCGGTGCCTGGCTGGCACAGCCACCCCACCCTGCTGTGCCCAGGCTGGGATGTGGCCGGGGGGGTTCTCCCCAGGAGACCCCATGCCTGAGGGCCTGGGGCCCGAGTGTGTGGGGAGGAGGTCTTTGCTGGACCTTCTTGGTGTCAGTGAGGAGTAGACTATGGGCGTGAAGGGGAGCGAGGCTTGGGCACCGGGGGTGGGGCAGACAGAGCCCAGGTGAGCAACAGGGCTGGGTGGGGGCCAAGGTGGAGCTGGGAAGGCTCCGTTTTCATCAGGCTGGCGCTATCCCAGCTGAAGACCTCGCCCACCTCCTCAGACCAGAGCCATTGGCTGGGGGATCCCTTGCATAGGGAGGGCAGAGCGTCCTAGGGTTGGCTAGTCTGGCAGCAAAGCCAGTGCTGGGGGGCGCCGACTGGCATGGCCCCCACTCTGGTCAGGTGCTCCTGGAGGCAAGAGTTCAAAATCAGAGACCGTGGCTCCCTGCCCATGTGGGGCAAGTCCTAGCAAGGCTATGCTGTGTGGGCATCACTGGAAGTGGGTCTGAGACCTTCCAGGGGTCTGGTTCGGGGTGGGGTGGGGGCTCATGCAGGGGGTAGCCTTTCTAGCATACGTGTGTGTGTGTGTGTGTGTGTGTGTGTGTGAGAGAGAGAGAGAGAGAGAGAGAGAGAGAGAGAGAGAGAGAGAGAGAAAGAGAGAGAGAAAGAGAGAGAGAATGGACGGCTTTCCAGCAGACACTAGTAGCACCCGCATTCTGGAGAGTCAGCAGCAGAGTTCCTTAGGAAGCCCCAACCATGCTTTGGGGGTGGGGGACACTTCTAAGTGGTTGACACGTGTTGTTTATGTCTTTACCTGCTTGTGGGGACCTTTTATCCCCTCTTACCTCCCTCATCCCAGAGGGAGGGTCAGTGGCCTCAGAGTAACTGGACAAAAGTACAAAATTATTTATAAGCTGAGAGTAGACACTTCTATTGATGAGGCCCCAAGAAGGTGCTTTGTGGGGCCAATTGATCCCCACACCACTGTCCTCTTTAGAGAGACCTTATGATGGCCCCCTCCTCCCCAACATAGAGCTCCCCTCCCCGGGGCTGTCCACCCACCAGCTTCCTCCCTCTTCCTGTTTCTCTGCTCCCGTATTCCCTGGAAGGGCTTCCTCTGGCTCAGCCACCTCCGCTGGCTGGCTGGCTGGTGCTTCCTGAGGAGTGGGAGGAGTTCTGAGACTGAAACCTTTTGTGAGAAGGTTGAGAAAGTTTCCCAGGAGCTCTAGAGAGGCTGGTGAGGTGCTCTGACTGGCCAGCAGCAGACAGGGACCCCAGTGCAGGGCAGGGCACCCTCCCCAGCCAGCCGTCCTCCAGCCCCTTCCCTGTGCATCTGTCCGCTTGCCAGGCCTGTGGGTGGAGTCTCCCCATTGTGGGTGGTGTCCTCAGGCTTCTCCAGGGTGGAGTGCTGCTCTCATCCCGGTGCTGCCTGCCTGTGTGGCCCCAGGATTTGGCAGTTGGCATCAGGATCCTTATCTCAGGAATGAGCTGTGTTCTCCTGGCCCAGGGCAGGAGGAGGCTTCTCCTCCGTTAGAGGCTGCCTGGAGCCAGCAGGACCGGGGCCAGGCCGACACCCAACCAACGTCCCCAGGGGCAAGCTAAGGGGTGCTGAAGGCGCCGCTGGCTCTCTAGAGTTAGGCTCTGTTTGCTTGGCCTTGAAGCGGTCACAGCGTTGGCAGGAGCTGCAGCAGCCTGTCTTCGGAAGAGCCCGTGCTGCCCTGGGGGCAGATGTGTCTGAGTGGAGGTGGGGCTGTGCGGGTACCCACCTGCGTTTGAAGGCAGCTAGAAGTGTGTCTGTGCTGATTCATTTGGCCTTGGCAGTGTTCGGTGGAGCACATGACGCTCTGAGTATGAAGGGGTCAAACTTGAGTTCCTGAGAAAGGGGCTAGGACCCCAAAATAGAGATGCAGCCAGAGAAAGATGGGCTGAGCAAGGGGCTTGAGGAGGGGGTTTGCAGGAGGCTGGGAGGTGAAGCCTGCCTGCCCTGCCTGTCAAGGTTGGGGTGCTGGGCACACCCCCTCTTATTCTTCTCTAGGTCCAACCGGTTGGAGCCAGCGCTTGCCTGGGGCAACAGGGGAGGGAGAGGAGCTCAGATCCGAGCTTCTCACCCAGGGCTGACTCAGTGGGGCCAGGGCAGCAGCAGGAGGGGCCCCCATGGCGAGATGTGGGTGGCTGTACCTGACAGATACAGAATCACATGATCAGGAACGCATTTCACACACACATTCATACTCACCTGTGCAAACCCAGAAACACATACACTCTCACCCCGCTACACACACACATTCACTTACATTTGCACACCCCAGAAGTGCCCACACAGCTACACCCCCTGGCAGACATACTCACACACCCATATACTCACTTAGTACACCCCCACACCCAGAAACATACATTCCGACTCCTTCATACATACACATTGACTCATGCTTCACACTCAGCACATCCCAGAACACACACCCACCCACATCTCCACTCACACACATAATCATACCCACATTCCAGGAACACTCACTACACACACACTTACACACATAGCTGCATATACACACAGACACACATACATGCTCATATAAATACGTAAGTAGATACCTAGCTGGTGGTGTGTGTAAATGGCCTCACAGGACACACAAGCACCCAGGGGCACCTGTCCATATCTCACACACACACACACACACACACACACCATTTATGCACACACCACACCTAATAGCTATGCATATATATGGTGCCTTCAAGGGCTTCCTACATGTAACATATAGACAGATACACATACATGTATATGGACATGCACTTACCAACCCATGCACATTCACAAGCATTCACACACTCCAAGCAGCCTCTACTCTCTGGGGGACCCCCACTGAATGCTCATACGGAATGAGGGCATTGAAGCTGACCCCCAAGCCCTGCTTCTGCTCGCCCCCGAACTGTTGTGCCCTTCTCCAGCGCTGCTGTCCGCTGTGCGGATCAACGGGGATGGCCAGGAGATCCTGTACCTGGCAGAAGGTGACAATGTGAGGCTGGGCTGCCCCTACATCCTGGACCCTGAGGACTATGGTCCCAATGGACTGGACATTGAGTGGATGCAGCTCAACTCGGACCCCTCACATAGGGAGAATGTGGTGAGTGCCAGGCTCCTTACCCTACATATCACCGTGAACTGCCCCAAGGCCTCTCGGGGAATGGACCAAGGGATGAGAGTTTAGGCAGGATCCCTGCCCTCAAGAGTTCCCTGTATGGCCTTATCTCATCTGCTCCACCTCATCTCATCTGCTTCCAGCTCCTCTGCTCTCTCACATTCTGAGAGGCCAGTGAATGAGTCAACACTGCTCCATATTTCAGATGGGAAAGTAAAGTCTCAAGAAGTTCAGTAAACTGGCAGCCCATCTGCCTGGCTCTCCTTGACTCTGCCAACCCATCACCTGCTTCCTTCTCTTCTGCACAGTTCCTAAGCTATCAGGACAAGAGGATCAACCACGGCAACCTGCCCCATCTGCAGCAGAGGGTCCGCTTTGCAGCCTCAGACCCCAGCCAGTACGATGCCTCCATCAACCTCATGAACCTGCAGGTATCCGACACGGCCACTTACGAGTGTCGGGTGAAGAAGACCACCATGGCCTCCCGGAAGGTCATCGTCACTGTACAAGGTATAGCTGAACCCCTCCGGGCCTCCCTTGCCCAGCTCTCATCCTGGGATGGCTTTTTCTCTTGACTGGCCTGGCTCACCATTGCTGCTTCCCCACAGCTCGGCCTGCAGTGCCCATGTGCTGGACCGAGGGCCACATGGCAAAAGGCAATGATGTGGTCCTGAAATGCTTTGCCAATGGGGGCACCCAACCTCTTTCCTACAAATGGGCCAAGATCAGCGGGCACACCCAGCCCTACCGAGCCGGCTCCTACCACTCCCAGCACAGCTTCCACCCTGACCTTTCCTACCAGGAATCCTTCCACGGCTCCATGAATCAAGGTGAGAGAGCTGCAGCAAGCAATAGGAGGTCAGGACCTGGGGACCTGCTGGGGCTCGCAGAGGCACTGAGTCAAACCTAGAACCCCTGGGGAGACTATGTCCCTGGGCCTGTTCCAGAAGCTGCTATCAAGGAAAGAAGAGTAGGCAGAAGGTGGGGGAAGTCAGTCAAAAGCTGTGTGGTTAGTCTGGAAAATGCCGTCTTGGCAGCCAGATCTGGGCTTGAGTTCCTGCTGAACCCTACTGGCTGCAAGACGGGTTGGCATAACCACGCTGTGCCCAGGCTTCCTTGTATATGAGAGGGGAAAATGAGGTCTGCTTTGCAGGGACAGACGAGGATTAAATGCTAAGAGGTGTGTGTAAACTGCAGCAGTGCTCACAAAGGGTGGCAGAGCTCTCGTCTAACCGCTGGATGGTTGAGGGCATTCGCCCTAGGGGAGAACGTGTTTCCCTGAGGTGGCAGAGTAGCTGAACAGGGCCTGAGCCTGGGATTCTTCCCCACTCTTTGCTCCAGCAAGGAGGTGACTCATCTGATGCTGAGAAAGACCCGTGTACTCACACATCTTTCTTCTTTCCACCTCACCCCACAGGGGCTGGGCTGGGGCTCTCAGACAGCAGGCCCTTGAGCCTTCTTGCAGCACTGACCATACTCTTGTGTTTCAGGCATGAACAATGGCGACCTGGTGTTGAAAAGCATCTCCAGTGAGGATGATGGGCTGTATCAGTGCACCGTGGCCAACCACGTGGGCTACAGCGTGTGCGTGGTGGAAGTGAAGGTCTCAGGTAGGTGCAGGGGTCGTAGGGGTGGGGGGAAGGTCAGGAGGGTGGGTGGGTCTGGTGCAGGCTGCCTCAAGCAGCCCTGGGAACACAAACACATAGCGACTCCACAGAGTCCTCAGGGATGTCCCAGGGCTGGCAGCCCTGCACCCAGGGCCCTCTGCCACAGATGCCCTGCCCTGGCAGCGCACGAGCCAGGCACCCCGGGGTTGCAGAAGGCTGACCCCTTTCCTCTCTCTGCAGACTCGAAGCGCGTCGGCATGATCATCGGCGCTGTGCTGGGCTCCCTGCTCATGCTGGCCTGCCTGATGATGGGCATCTGGGGGCTCATCTGCTGCTGCTGCGGGGGCGGCCCCGGGGCTGGCGGCGCCCGCGGAGCCTTCGGCTACGGCAACGGCGGCGGGG